CATTTAGGTCGCCCATTGAAAAATCTTTTTCAATGAATAGAAACATTAAGCACAAGTTCAATGGATCAAAGGCTCTTCACCTTCGACTAGATTTATCTCGTTTATCGTTCGTTTTCTACTTTAATTTCATCTACATACAAGAATCTCAAGGATCTTCACGAGTTTCGTCACACTTAGCTTTCCTACGAGAGCAAAAAAAAAGCAATATTGTGTTATCGTAAATGTTTTAGTGGTGAAAATATAGCCAACATCATGCGATTTTCTTGGAATGTTACCCTCCTCCGCACATGAATGTTACTGAACTTTTTATTTGAAGGCATATTTCAATTTTTTTTCTTCAAAAAATTCTGTTTGCTTTATATCCGACTGGTGAAATATTTTAACTGTATGTCAATGGTTTATCAATAATAATGATATACTAATAAAAAAAATAGATTCTATTCTAGCAATCAGAAACTTGCTATATACCACAGTTATATTTTAACCCTTTAAGGCTGTTTTTCGAAGACTGCGTCATCGTATGAAATAATGCTTTTCAACAAGTAATTTGCTATTTTCATAACTGATGTGAGTTTGTAACAGTTACTCATACCTGCTTGGTCAAATTTAGCCTATCGAAAGCCATCAGTACCTATGCATATTTTGAAAATGGCGCAAAACGTCAATATGGAGAAAAGCTATGGTTATGCGAAAATGAAAGGTGTTTGTGGTTTAATTTTTTTAATATTTAAAAACTAACTCCAATGCTGTCTTGTCTTGACTCGCAAAAATTTGCAAAAACTGTGAATAATGCAATATTTTTGAAAATTTTCATCTCGGTGAAAAATGTCCCTAAATTGGAGATTTCTTAAAAAAGTTTTTATTTTCTTTTATAACCGTCGTTAAACAGTTGACACAATTTTATGGGTTTACGACTACTAATGTTCAACTCCGTAGCCTTGTAATTTTGAACCCAATCCAGAAGACAAGGGAACTCCTGGATCGAGTATTGGGAGAAATTTGCCTCCGTGGAGGACTTTCTGGTGGAGCTAACCCGCATTTGCTTTACATGGCGAGGAAGACCACGAGAACCTCCCACGGTTAGCCTGACTGCAAGAGGACTCTAACCCATGATCTGTCTACCACTGAGGATATTTCACGTCAGCACTGTGGTCGGTGCAAACCGGATGCGGAATTCGTATCGGCTGGGACTCGAACCCGGTTCGCCTCATTGGAAGGCGAATGCTCAATCCCCTGAGCCCCATCGCGGCTTTTTAAAAAAGGTTAATGACTTTTAAAATATTTAAGTTATTTTTTATTCTAAATCCCTGGTAATTCTTCACGGCAAGATGAAATATAGAGTTTAAAATCATCGCATTGCTTCAAGTGCAACACTGCCACTGTGACTTTTTTAATTTTCCTTGGCGACAGAGCTTCAAAAAAACCATGTTAAAGGGCTATGGGAAGCTCATAACCATACTTCACCGATATTTATCAATATTCTGAATAAATATCAATAATATGAGAAAATTGTTATCAGAATTTTTTTTCAACATCTTATTTTTAAATAACATTGATGTGAGTATTATTTTTCATTTTTTTTCCTTTAGGGAAGAGGGAAACTACATAGAGCAGGTGTAGGCATATGAAATATTTATTTCTTTTGTTTGCTTAAAAAATTTTAGCAAATTTTGGCAGATTAGCGAAACCGTGTTACACTTAAATACATAGTTACTGAACATAACACTAAACTGTTATTTAGCAAACTAAAAAACAAGGAGTTAATGGTAGATTTTTGTTTAAGTTGCAATTTTAGATTATTTTTATTCATCGTTTTTAACAATGGGAAATATTGCGATTTGAATGATTATTCTTATTACATAATAATCATTTTTGATTTGCTTTTCTTAATTAATGGAATTGAGCTTTATGTGCTCATTGTTTATTTATGTGTTCACGAAATTAGTGTGGATTCATAAGGGTCGAACAACTGTGGACATGTCAATATTATTCTGATTGCATAGTTCTCATTAATGAACAGCTGAAGTCAGCTTCTGAACATAGGTGGAAGTTAAAAGGAAAGAAACATTCACTTGTACAAACGACCGCATACTTAAAGAGCTCAGTGTGAGTCAGGTATGCGATATTTTCGGTGTGGATGTAATGAGGGTAAGAAGAGAAAAAGTCGCATCCGAACTATATTACTACAAGTTTTGTCACCCATTTACGTGGATGGACCTCAGGTCAGATCTTATACTCAAGTACAAACGACCGTATACTTAAAGAGCTCAGTGTGAGTAAGGTATGTGACATTTTCGGAGTGGATGTAATGAGGGTAAGAAGAGAAAAAGTCGCATCCGAACTATATTACTACAAGTTTTCTCGCCCATTTAAGTGGATGGACCTCAGGTCAGGTCTTATACTCTAGTACAAACGACCGTATACTTAAAGAGTTCAGTGTGAGTCGGGTATGAGACATTTTCAGAATGGATGTAATGAGAGTAAAAGAGAAAAAGTCGCATCTATTTATTTTATCATAGATTTAACAAAAAATGGGGCTACTGTTTTTCTTATTTTTTTTATTTATTTATTTATTTTTTCCCCTTTTTTATTAGCCACAATCTAATTTGAAATAAAATCATAAAAGCATACTTAAAATTAAAGTGTATTAGTTATGTTAAAATAAAGTGAAAACAAAAACAGTTCTGTTAGATGAAGCATATCCCCATTAATGCGACCACATTATGCTATTTTTTTAAAATTAATAAATGCCTCTGAAAATGCCACTTTTCTGCTCCTTCCACTAAGCTCTTCATTTTTCAATCCTTAAACTAGACCGAAAACGTTGTGAACTGATCTAACCCTTTCACAGTCTGTAACGAAAAATAGGCTCAAAAATGTTAGTTTCCTCTTTACGCTTTTATTTCATTTTCTAAAAGTCGATGTGCTGCTGAATCGGTTAATAAATGTACAGCACGTAAAAAAAAAGAAAGTAAAAAAAGAAAAAAAAAAGTTATCACGCCATAAATAATTTTCGCTCAAATCGGATTTTTACGTACTAAGTGTACTAAATTGTTCCCGAGAGTGACTAAGTTACAAAATTGGACACAAAAACGTACTTTCTTTGAATAAGCATATGTATATATTTTTACATATTTGGATTCGTAACCTTCAAAATATAGGGCAATCTGGGAAATATGGTCCCCATAATTTGGTCAGGCGAGCGATCCAAAGTTCTGACCCCTCAATGTTAATTTCACTTTTTGCGTTTTTAGTCATATTTTTTAACGCTAATTAAGCAATTCAGAAATGAATTGCACCTACTCATAAAACCTGTTTATCCAAAGATAATTCAAGCAAAAAATAACTTCGAATAATTATTTATTATTTTTTATTGTTTAATTTAATTGTGAATAAAAAAAAATTCGAATTATAAGGTATAATTTTCTTCTTCTTTACACCATATTAATCTACATATTTTTCTATAGAAAAATCTAAAGTTTCAACTATTTTTTTTTAGTAAAAGCCGAAAAAAATTAAAATTAATTATTTAAAAAAAAAAATAATTTGGCGACAACGAAGAAATATTTTAATGGGGAGATTAATACTTCAATGTGTTTGTTAACTTATGAGGAATTTGACTTAGAGCCCATAGCGTGAAATTTCATTCATATTTTTTTCGCTAATAGTCGATTTCTAATCCATTTTTTTTTTTTTTAATTTTAAAGTATAACGTTTCTTTTTTTGTCGCCTAAAAATTTATTTATAATTTTGCAAAGAAATTCGAATAAAAACATTTTATTGAACGAATATCGAGTTTATAAAAGTATGTTTCTGATAGAAAGTGATTGCGCATCAGCTTTTTTTAATTTTATTTTTTAGTTTGTTTTTTCAACCACTGGCAAGCATCTTAAAATTTCTCAACTTCTTATATAGAGTCTTAATCTTAAAATAAACTAACTTTAAAATTTGCATAAAGCAATTAAATATTGCAGACGACATTTGTTGCAAACACTGCAAACACCATTTCAAACTATGTAATCTTAAATGAAAAAAGAAAACAAATCCATTTTTATATTTTGAAAATTTCATATTTCGTTCATATTTTGAAAGTTTTTATTTTAAAATTATATTAAAATTTGTATATTTTAAAATTGAAAAAAAGTTTTGGTCCGTTACTGTATCGAATTATTTAAAAGAAAACCTTAAAAAATTATTATCATATTTGCATTTATCTTTGGATGACTGATTTTTATAATTTATGCAATTTTAATTTATTAAATTTTTGATTCACTGAAAATGTTCTTGAAGTATGATAAAATTTTCATAAGAAATTATTTTATATTTTTCGGAAATTTTCGGATACTTTAAAATAAGTACAAAATTTCCAGAGATCATTGTTCACTGAATTGCAAAAATGTCAAAATATTAAAAATTGCTAACATGGATAAGTTTGTAAACATGTCACAAAATTTGTGGCGCCATCTCTTATCCTTAGTCTTAGTAATTTTATAAATTAAGTTTTAATTTAATTAAATATAATAGGATAATTACATAAAGATTAAAAACTTTTTGCAGTGGAAAATAGCTTATTTTGTTAAAATAAGGGAAAAAAATCTATAACAGTTCATAATACGGCATCTGTCTCATAAGATTTTTAAACTTTTATTTTCCAAAATAAATCAAATGCTATTTATGTATCCCTTTTTTAGTATTATAAAATTGTGCCCTTTTTGCAATACTATATAATTTTAAAGTGCAATAATTTTTTTTCTTTTATCAAATACAAAAGTTTAGAAATGTGAAATCAAATAAATTCAGTTAAGATTAGTTTAATATTTATTCTCTAGATGGCGGCAGCAAAGTGTTATTCCTGCAGAATCCTTGAATAAGCTCTTCAAAACGTCATGCAGCCGATTGTAACGCGATTGGCTGGTTTGAGAATTATGTGGGTGAGGTTTGTATTTCTTTGGTGCTAAAGCTGTCTTTTTCTCCGGGAGCACCGAAACGTGATTTCGTTTAGAGGTAGTGTTTTTATATTGTTTGCTTATGTTAAATGATCAGGTTACACGTAAACTATTTGCTTTAGTTTTATAAAATTTGGTTAAGTTTACTCATATTGTCAAAAGATCTGTTTAAAATCTTCATTGTTCAATCTTTTGTGTGCATTCGGCATTGACAGGTGTGCATCTCAATGTGTGGATAATAAATTTGATTTTAAAGACAGGATATACTATCTATGTGCTCTTGTTCTCTTCCAAGTGCATTTAAAATGTGGATTCTAGTTTAAAATTTAAATATTTGTTGCCCTCTTAAGTTTTTATAAGTTTTCTGTTTACATTTATTGCCTACTTATTGTGCTCTACTGATATGTTTAGATATTTCAACTTACCATATATTTCATGTTTTTATTGACTTTTTTCTATAATAGTACTGTTAAAATAACTTTCTACTTAGTTTATGCTTGAAAGCAATCGTATTTACTTTGGTTCATCTTAATTTCATCAATAGTTCATCTTAAATTTTATCAATGATTCATGATGTGCTCACTTAGTTTGAAGTTTAATCTGCATAAATTAAATCATTCAATAATGATAAGTATTCAAACAGATGAGTAAAAAATGACTACATAAAAACCATTGGCATATTTAATCTATCGGATAGTTAAAAATGTATTTGTTTACATTATAGAGCATATCCATTTAACTACATTCTATATTTTTCATATCCTATTTAAGAATGTGTTGGAAAATTTCCTATTATACTAATGTTTTTAATTTTATTATTTTTTGAAAGTTTCTTAGCATATCAGATTTATAATAAGATATATATAATCAGATAACAAAGTCAATATACTAATGTAAGTCAATTTAATTTTTAAATATTTATAACTATAGATTTTTGAGTATTTACTTCTTTTTTAGAAAGGTTTATTTATTTTAATTATAAGCTTTTATAAATCGACCCAGTTTGCAAATTTTTAGAAAATATTAAAAAATTCTGCATATTGCATAAGTTTTTTTTTACTGGATCTTAACATTTCTGCATACTGCTTGCTTAAAAATCTTAAAGTTTCACTCACTGGTTCTCATATGTTTTGTAATTTAAAACATACAAATTGTTTGAAAAATCAAGATTGTATGCAATGAATTTGTACAAATAAAAAAATAACTGTAGCTTTTATTTTGTGACGAAATAAATTGGTAATTAATGTTCGCACAAACTCTTTCCTATTGCAACTTAATATTGTTGCACATATCAATAAATTTCTCAGCAGGCATAGTGTCTATGCTTTTATTTAATTTCGGAGACATATATTCTACTTTTTATGCATGAAAAGATAAAAATTACAAAAACTATCAATTTTGGCTATCATCCGATAATTTTAGCTTTTTTTTAATGTCTCTAATGTGTTTCTATTTAAGTCAAAATTCAAGAAATATTTAATTGTTGAGAATGCCGGTTCTTGATAAATTAAAACCGTTCACTGAAGATATTCAAGGTGATCTGGTAATAATTTCCCCTTTCATCTATTTTTAGAATCCATGTCAAAAGTGAAGTGAAATGTATACATTATTAATATACAATCAATGTGGAAAAAAAAAAATTCTTATTGTATTTCTACTCTAAGCAAGCTATTTTTATAACTTAGTTTAAAAAATTATAAATTGTTATATATTATTCTTCCCTGTAGCTTATTTCTTTGATTTAAATTGATATTAAGCTTAAATTTATTACATTAAAACAATTTTTTTTTATTTCTATAAGTATAAATAAAGTAAAACTGCAGAAACTGATTTGTAAATAAAAAGAAAAATAATTGTATAAATAAAAAGAGTAAAATATCATAAATAAACTGATCTCTTATGTTTTAGAATTTGTCATCCTCTTTAGTGATTTGTTTAATTTTGATAGTAAACTTGCATTTGTATTGGTTTAAATTAGTAACCTTCATGCGCAGACTTTTTTTAAAAATTTTTAATAAGCAATGGTTCTAATTTAATTATGCAGAAGTCTAATATTTAATTATACATGCAAAATTGAATTTTTTTTAGTAATAACAAGCATTAACTTAGTCAGTCCTCATTCTTGAAATTTTGGTGTTTATTATTTATGTTTTCAGTATCTATTCAATATCTATTTTTATAGTGTATAGTAACTATTTAGTTTTATAGTGTATAGTTTAAATTAATCTTATTTTATCAGCTCTAATGCAACATAAATAAAGTATCTACCACGCTGTATTATTAGTAAGTTTAAAATTCAATTGTAGTTAAGAAAACAAAATATGTAAAAATATTTTTTTACACATAATTAAGTTACTTGCTTTTCAAAAATTAACGAAAATGTTAAATTATTTTCCATTTTTGATCAATATATTTTGGTACAAGCATATAAGAAGGATCTTATTTCCTAAAATTTACTTTGAATTTTTATTAATTTTGTTTCTATTTTTCAACTGAGTTAGATAATTAATAAGAAAAAACAGCTTTGTAATTAAGGTTTCATTATTATTTATAAATCGAGGGAAATTTTTTTTCTCTAAATTTCCCACATGTTTGTAGTTAAATAGTCGAATTATTTTATTACTAATTGAAACATTAAGTTAGAAAGCTAAAGAATACAACTTAAAATTTTTGTATAAAGTATTTCTAAGATACTAAAATTAAATGACTAATAAAAATATTAATTATCTTTTCAATTTTTGGCATGATGGCAAATAAATTGACTCTTTTTTTTTTTTAATTATTGCTTGGAAGCTCTTGTTCTTTTTATATCTCTGTGAGGTCTTCAGAATTGTCTTTGTCGTTTTAAAAAAAAAGTTTCATTGAAACAAAAATTAATCCCTTCTGTATACTTTTTTTATTGTTACTCAGATGTGCATTAGCATTTACCTTCTTTTTTTAAATTTTGAATTCAACTTCCGGAAAAATAAACAATCAATAGCAAAATCTCTTTCTGGTGAGTACTTTTCGAGGGAAATCAACAAGCTTTGGTCCATTTGTCATTCCAGAAAATTTTTACTATTAGTATAATGGTTTGTGTTTTTCTAACTTAGTAATATTATTAGATTTTTTTTAAGGCTTTACAAATACTTTATTTTTATATGATCATTATCAGATATAATTTTTTTTAGTTTCTTTCACAATAGTGTTAGGAGACATGATTTAATTTGTCAAAGCTGTCAATTCTTCTTGATTTCATTTTGCCTCCTGAGCTTTCTAAGAATGCTCTTTTAAAGTTAGCTTAATTGTTACTTTTATTAACTTCTCAGAGATATATTATCATTTTAATATTTCTTCAAAAAATGTCCATTTCGTGCGGTACTTTTGCAATTTTAAACTTATTGATTGAAATTGGTCGAACATCACTAATTTTCCATTCCAGATTGTCGACTAATATGGTAGAAGTATACCACCAGATAAAAGTTTTAAAAAAAGTTATGCGTTCCTGGCTTAAAGAGTAACATTTAGTTATTATTTAAAGTCAAAGATTAAAAAATTATATTTTTATCTTTAATCTACACTGAATTGTGTTATTATAATGAATGTTATCTTATTATTTTAGTGCTAGGTAATGATGATGTCCGCGGATGGTTCGTATATGGAGCAGGAGGAAGAGTGGGAGCGTGAAGGATTACTCGATCCAGCTTGGGAAAAACAGCAACGAAAAGTATGTGAGGCTGCAATTATTTTAACGTTTATAATCACATAATATGATTTACTAACTAATTAAACACAAATTTCTATTCTATGAAATTTAAGTAAAGCTCTTGCGTAAAATGCTTAAACCAATTCTTAACTCTTAATTCTTTATGAAAAATGCTTAAACTCTCTTCAATTTATTGCTGTAGTTAAAAGAATATTTTACATTTGAATTACTCCCTTAAATGAATAGGTAAATGAGTAAGCTTCACGTAACAAATTAAGGTTTAATTGTAATTCAATTTTTTAGGCGATTATTACGAAATTGTTTTACAAACTTGATGACGTCAATGACAAAATTGTTTTACAAACTTAATGAAGCCAATTGTAAAATTGTATTACAAACTTAATGAAGTCGATTACAAATTTGTTTTACAAACTTAATGAAGTCGATTACAAATTTGTTTTACAAACTTAATGAAGCCAATTACAAATTTATTTTACAAACTTTATGAAGTCAATGACAAATTTGTTCTACAAGCTTAATGAAGTCAATGACAATTGTTTTACAAACTTAGTGAAGCCGATTGTAAAATTGTTTAAAGTGTAAATTTACGTGTGAGCAAATTTTAGCAAAAAATGTGTTTTGTTGAAGGATTCATAAAAGCTGAATAGAAATTAATAAATTTGTGTCTTTAGACCAAAGAGAATTTAGTTCTTATATAAAGACAGGTTCGCTATTTTAAATCAATCAATTTTTAAAAAAAAAAAAATCTTTGATTTTAATCAAACTATAAATTTTTTAAGGAAATCATTGATGGAAAGTATTTTTATGTACAGTAGATTAAAAGGATAATATACTTGGGAGGAAACTCCATAAGTAATTTAAAGTAAGTTCAGGCAAACCTAGATAAGTTCAGGCAAAACCTAGATAAGTTCATGCAAACCTCTAATACTGAAAAGATATTTTCATGATATCAAAATGAAAATTAATTATGAGAGGATGACACATCGAGAAAGTTACCTTCCTTTAATTTGTTTGCATTTTGATATTATAAAAAATATTTTTTGTCTGATTTTGAAACTTCATGGATTATTTAAGGTTTGCCCTAACTTTTTTTTTTTTGTACTTCATATTTTAAATTAGTTATAAATATGAAACAGAATTCACAATGAAAAGTTTCTCTTGTGTCATAGTGTCTTCTTAATTTTTTATTGAATTTAAATTCTGATGGCCATGCATTTTAAAGCAATAGCAAGTTTTGTTTCTCCATTATTTAAAAAGGGATGTGGAATATTCCTGATATTCTTTATATTTGTCATTATTTTTTAATAAATTAAAATGTTTTTGAAGATTGCAGCCGGGAATGAATTAGTGGCTTTACATTATTAGTTATAGGATATATAATAATTTTGAATCATTAAATTTTTATTTCTGTAAATTTGTGACCTTCATTTGCAGACTTTTTTTAAAATTTTTAATAATCATTGGAATTTATAGGACAATCATTCCAGAACATACTGCATTAATTTTAAATCGTTAAATTTTTAAAAGAAGACCCTTAAAAGACAAACTTTACTAAAAAATTTTAAATAAATTTTGATGTATTTATATATTATTCCAGTTATTTAATACATACATTTTATTTGCACACACATTATTTTGTACCATCAAAAAAAAAATTCTGTGAAAAATTTGCTTAAAATTGCTAAATTTTACATTTTAAATGCAAATATTTCTTCATAAAGTTTTTAATAATTAAATCAGAATATTTAAAAATTGATTTTTTGTAATTTTTAAATTTTTTTTTTTTATAGATATTTTGTTCCCTTTATTCCCAAAATTGTGGGGAAAATTTCAAATGAAACAACAAATTTTTATTTTTACAAATTTTTACTTATCTGAAATTCTAGGGGAATCAATGTTTCTTTCAATTAAATGTCAAATATTTTAAACTCTCCACATTCGAGTTAAAGAAAATCCTTATTAGAAATTGAGAAATACATATGTTTATTAAAGGTGTTTTATGACCAACATTAAATAAACCAAGTACAAGTTTCATAATTTTAATCATAGCTTATCTTGTTCCGAGCTTCATACCATAATCTTAACTATGTTCTTTTTTTCTATTAACGATATTTTATTCTTTAAAAGCATCTACTGTAAAGCATTTGTTATCAGTCCTGCTTCACAGTAATAGTCTTCGTACCTATTTATAAGTACCGCCCACTCCGCCAAAGATTTTTATGCTATTTTAAGAATCTTAGCCTTACTATGTCATTTGCCTTCAACATTTTTTATTTTATGAAAATGATATAAAATCTCTTTCATTGACCTTCGCCATTTGCTTTTTCGCAGCTTTGAAATAGAATTTATTTATTCCATTTTTATTTACAATACACAACTTTAACTATTGATATTTTATATTAAAATTATTTTCAAGGGTAGGAATTATAATTGAATTCATTGTGTAATAACTTTGTTCCTAGATAATTAAGTCACAGACTACGAATTAAACACATTCTTATTATTTTTTTTTTAAATTTTTTTAATTATGCAGAGATGCCAACTGCTCCGGACAAGCCGGAATAATTAAATAAACGGTAATTAACTACAAAGAAAATTTTGCAAATATTTGACTATTTTTGCTTTCTTTTTAAATGGTATAGCATTACTTGAGCTCCATCAAGTGGTGAATTATATAAGCCTACGAATTTTTTAGAAATAGTGGTGGATAAAAATCTACTAAATTGAATTTATTAAACTACGAATCACAATTGATAAACTACCACTTTAATATATATATTTGCTGCCCGGAGCAAGTTGGCATCTCTGATTATGCCAAGCGAGTTAGCGTAACTTAAGTGTGTTAGCTTTATCTTTGATAATAAAGTTAAAATCGTCCCTTTCTTTCTACTCATGGACTACAAATTCAAAACTTGCTTATTTTTATATTTTGTTTAAAATAAAACAACAAATTAGCATAGGTTACAAAGAAATACTCTTAATTCTTTAAAAAAATTTACATAGGCTATAAAATATAACCTTTGCATTCCTTGAAGTTAAAGTGTTTAGATGATGTTTGGTAAAAAATAGTCTGATCAAAACTCACTAAAATCGTCATTTGCAAGATTTTTCTGTCATTTTGGTTTCAAGAAGGTATTGGTATGTAGGGTAAATTATAATTTTTGTTATAATTGTGTAACTCAGGAAGATCGTGTTTTACAATAGTATGAAGTCAACTTTAATTTTTCTTTTATTTTAACAGTTTAACATTAATATTTAGCATAAATATGAAATCACTACAAAGTAAATATACTTGGGAAAAAGACACAACTTATAAGTTATTCGTGGTATAGTAGAACAATGTAAGAATATCATTGCAATATTTATTTTCTACTGGAGCTTGAGGTTACAAAGAGATAAATCGCTTTTTAGTTTTTTTTCTTCTTTCGAATTTGGCATTTTTGCATCAAACTGTTTCTTGACGTTGTTTCCAGGTTGGTCTTTTATGCGTTACTGAACTTTTCACTTGATAGCAGTATAATACAAAAAAGAAAAATCTTATTGTCAACCGCGACTAAAGTTTCTTTCTCTTGGTATTTCCACCAAGAAACAACTTAAACACGTGGCTTATTCTATTGCTTCAAGCCTTCCGGTTAAATTGCGAATTCTAAATATCGATAGCCATATTTTATTTCGTCATTGCTTGATTTTTTATCAAGGATCGTTTTTTTTTTAAAAAATTCTTTTAAAAAAATTATTTGTGTATTTTAGTGTACTCAATAAAAACTTTTTCCCGTTAAATCTGCAAAAGGCTGTATAATTTTATTTTAATTTCACTTATTTTATTTGGAATACTCTGTTGTCAAACTTAAAAAGTTGCTTCGAGAGAATTAATATTGCAACTGTTATTTTTCATCAATTAATTTTTTCCGTACATTCTACACCGAGAGAGATGTGCTCCATTTTTCCTGCATTCTTTGGATTCTAATTTAATTTTTCGTGAATACGCCCAACGCATTTTTTATGGATAAGAAAATGCCATTTTTAAGGTCTTGTGCACTTTCGAATACGGAACTGCGGCTTGTAGCGTCCATTTGTTACGCTCCACAAATATTTAATTGACATCTTAGCGTTTCCGAGACACTTTATTGTGAGACTCTGCTTTCAAGGTCATCTCTAAGCCAAAGTCGAGGACGGTGAACTACCTTGAACATCTTCAAAGATGTGCACTATATGGAGATGAAGTCGATTATTTTAACATCGTCGTGACCGAAATTCCGAGAATCTGGTTTTCTTTTCGTTCACTTTTTTATGCTTGAGATCGTGAGGAACCGTTCCGTTTGTAGGAAATATTTACTGGTTTTGACGTAATATTCTAATGAACAAAAATTTTCTAGCTAGAGTATCTTGTTCCAGATCTTAAAATAGTTATAAGTTTTATCTATTTTCTGTATCACGTTTTCATTAAATAATTCATGAAGTGGTTGTGACATAGAGGAAACATGCGGCAATATGCTTTTCTATTGGCAAATTTGAAGTCGATTGTTACAACTGTTCGTATTTGTTTTGATAAAGAACAAATATTTTGAAATTATTTGTTTTATTTTAAACTAGCGGCTTAACTGTTACATAATTTATGTGTTGGGCTTTTATCGTTTGCGGATCCAAGGAATAAATATGCTCATCGAATCGAAATCGTATCGAATAATCAAAAGTTTTAGTTGCCTCGATAAAAAAATTATAAAATTTAAGGAATTTAAACGAATTTTAATGTTTTTAAATTATTTATATTAGTTTTGCTGACTATCTGTTGGATAATTTGCTTTTTGGTTAGTTCGATACAATTGTTCAGTTTGCAGATCTCAGGAATAAACATGCGTATCGTCAAGTAAAAATCTGTATTTTATCTACTTCTTATGATAAAAATGAAATGTTTTATAAAATTTAAAGAATTCAGTATTTCTAAATCATTTGTTTTATTTTAATTTTACCCCGTAACTGTACCATAATATACTACTCTG